CTACAGCTGAGCATACTCGACAAACTTTCCTTCGGGTTCAAGAGAGGCAAGGACAGTCCCGGAGGCGAAAGGGTCCCCACTGTGATCGACCCCTGACCCAGGAAGAGCTGCTCAGGGAGGCCAAGATCACAGAAGAGCTCAACTTACGTTCACTGGGTCAGTCTGTGCTTTGGGAAAAGTAGGTGGAGATACTGAGCTTGCATGAGAAAAAAACCTAGAGGCAAAAGAATTAGAAAGTTCACACTTAACAGTCCCAGCTGGCCAGGTGGTGGTGGTGCATGCCTTTAGCCCCCGCACTTACTGGCAGGTGGAGCTCTGTGAAGTCAAGGCCAGCCAGAGCTACATAATGAGACCATGTCTCCCCCACAAAAAAACTGTCATCAGGAATTGTATTTCAGCTGAAAACTGGACAAACGCTCAGTGATCTGACGTCATGTCTGGACCAGGAGCAGGCTGATGGGCTATTTGGGGTTGGGAGGAATATGCTGGGAAATGAACTCTTCCTACTTGAGATTCTTCCCGTCCTGAGTAAGGATGGACTTCTCTAGCTGGCCAGGGTGGAGAGTGGCAGTGATTAGATTGATGATTAAGATCATAGGACAGGACAGTGAGACCCGAGATGGCTCAGCAGGCCAAGGCACTTGCCACCAAGCCCTGTGACCTGAGTTTGATCTTATAAACGGGGAACTGACTCCAGCAAGTTGTCCTCTGACCTCTACACGTGTGGACGTGTGTACATGCGCACATACACTCATACATACATAAATGTAACTTAAATAGATCACGGGCCAGAGCTAGAGTGTGGGGAAGGGAAACTGACCATTTGCTCCTTTCTCCTTCTGATCCTGAAGAGACCTATGAAAGGCTTGAAGCAGACAAAAAGAAGCAGGTTCACAAGAAGCGGAAGTGCCCTGGGCCCATAATCACCTACCATTCTGTGACAGTGCCGCTTGTTGGGGAGCCCGGTCCCAAGGAGGAGAACGTGGACGTGGAAGGGTGAGTGCCCCCCGTGTGCCTGGCTTCTCTAGACACTTTCCCCAGTACACACTTCAGATCTTATCCTGCACCCGGCTCATTCCTTCCTGTTGTTTTGTTTTCTTGAGCCATCTCACTCACTCTGTAGTTCTGGCTGGCCTGAACTCACTATGTAGCCCAGGCTAGTCCCAAACTCATGATCTGCCCCCATCTATCTCCTTAGTACTTGCTCTATAAATCAGGCTGACCTCGAACTCAAAGAGTTCTGCCTGCCTCTGCCTCCTGAATGCTGGGATTAAAGGCGTGCGCCACCACTGCCCAATATTTTTATTTATTTGTTTATTTTTAAGTGCGTATCAGTGTTTTGCTTGCATGTATGTCTGGCCTGGTGCCCATTGAGGCCAGAAGAAGGAGACAGATTCCGTGGAACTGGAGTGAGAGATGGTGTGAGCCACTGTTTGGGTGCTGGGACTCAAACCCATGTGCTCTGAACTGCTGAGTTGTCTTTCCAGCCCTGTGCCCAGCTCTTTTTTGTTGACCCAGGTACTCGCTCTGTCTCTCCAGTGGCTTGAAACTCAGGGGATTCATCTTCCCTCATTCTCTTAAATACTGACGTTACAGGCATGAATTTCTTGCCTTCTCAGCATTTGGTGATTCTTCTGTCTTTCGCCCTCAGACTTGATCCTGCTCCTACAGCTGCTGCCTTGACTCCACATGCCGGGACTGGACCTGCCGGCCCTCCTGCTCACTGCTCACGTACCTTCATCACATTTAGTGATGATGCAACATTTGAAGAGTGGTTCCCCCAAGGGCGACCCCCCAAGGTCCCTGTTCGGGAGGTCTGCCCAGTGACACATCGCCCAGCTTTGTACCGGGACCCTGTTACAGACATACCCTATGCCACTGCTCGGGCCTTCAAGATCATCCGTGAGGCCTACAAGAAGTACATCACTGCCCATGGACTGCCGCCCACTGCCTCAGCCCTAGGCCCTGGTCCCCCAGCCCCTGAGCCACTCCCTGGCTCTGGGCCCCGAGCCTTGCGGCAGAAGATTGTCATCAAATAGATACTTGCTCTTTAGAAATGTCTTTCCTCTGCTGACCCGGGCTCGGTTCTGCTCTTCCCTTTGTCTTGGGTGTGTTTTTTCTTTCCAGCTTCCCTCCCCTGTTCATGGTTTGGTTTTGTTGTCATTTTTTTATGCTAATAAAATGGTAAAATCCTTATATGTGGTGTGTAGGATTGGGCAAGATATATTTGTGAGTGTGTTTGTATATTTGGGTTGTTTTAGTTTTGTTTGTGCTAGATTAACACTCGGCCTTGTGTGTGCTGGAGAAGTGGTCCACCACTGAGACACCTCATTTGTTTTCTCCTCTCCTTCCCTCTTCTTTTTCTCTCTCTCTTTTGAGACAGGGGTCCCTGCATAGCCCAGGCTGGCCCCACATCAGATCTCCCTGCCTTTGCCTTCCAAGTGCTAAAGTTAGTTTTGGCTGTCACACCCTGTCCCTAGGCCTTTGTATTGTTTGGTGGCTCTCATTAGGAGCTGTCGTTTTTTTTTTTGTTTTGTTTTTTGTTTTTTCTTTTATGTGGGTGCGTGTTTGTCTGCATGTATATGAACACAGTGTACATACATGGTGTACACAGAGGCCATGTGTTGACCATGAGCAACTTCCTCAGAAGTTGCTGGATCCCCTGGAACTGGAGTTATAGATGATTGTGAGCCACCATGTGGGTGCTAGGAATGGAACCTGGGTCCTCTGGAAGAGCAGCCAGTGCTCTTAACTTCTTCTGGACCATCTCTCTAGCCCCCCCCCCCTTTTGTTGTTGTTGTTTGTTTTTGTTTTTTGAAACAGAGTTTCCCTGTGTAGCCCTGGCTGTCTTAGAACTTACTCTGTAGACCAGGCTGGCCTCAAACTCAGGAAGACCCACTGCCTCTGCCTCTTAAGTGCTGGCATTAAATACATGCGCCATGGCTACCCAACCTTTCCCCCACCCCTTTTTTTTGAGACAGAGTGTCGTAGGGTTTCTATTGCTGTGAAGAGACACCATGACCATGATAACTCTTATAAAGGAAAACATTTACTTGGGGTGGCTCACTTATAGTTCAGAGGTTCAACCCATTATCATCATGGTGGGACATGCTCTGTGCAGGCAGACATGGTGCTGAAGAAGTAGCTGAGAGTCCTACATCTTGCAGGGATCAGAAAGTGGTCTGAGTATCACACTGAGCAAAACTTGAACATATGAGATCTCAAAGGCACCTCCGCAGTGACACACTTCCTCCAACAAGACCATACTTACTCTAACAAAGCCTCATCCCCTAATAGTGCCACTCCCTTTGGGGGCCATTTTCTCTCATGCAGTGGTGACACACGCCTTAAATCCCAGCACTCAAGAGGAAGAGCCGGACAGATCTCTGTGAGTTCGAGGCCAGCCTGGTCTACAGAGCAAGATCCAGGACAGGCACCAAAACTACACAGAGAAACCCTGTCTTGAAAAAACAAACAAAAAAGTGTGTGCCACCACTGCCTGGCCTTTTTTTCTTCTGTTTTTTATTTGTTTGTTTTTCAAGACAAGGTTTCTCTGAAATAGTCCTGGCTATCGTGGAACTCACTCTGTAGACCAGGTTGGCCTTGAACTCACAGAAATCCTCCTCTCAGTGCTGGGATTAAAGGCATTGCACCACTACTGCTCGCTTTTTTTTATTTTTAAAACACAAGTTCTAACTAAATTGTCCAGGCTAATTTCAGACTCCTGGGCTTGGGCCCTTCAAGGCGGTCCTTCAGCCTCAGCCCTCCAAGTGCTAGGGCCTAGAGGAGCAAATCACTGTTCCTGTTTTGTCCTTTTTATTTATCTTTTAAGATTTATTTGTTACTTAATGTGAGTGCTCTGTCCTCTGGTAGGCCTGCGGGACAGACGAGGGCACCAGATCTCATTACAGATGGTTCTGAGCCACCATGTGGTTGCTGGGAATTGAACTCAGAACCTCTATTTAGAGCAACCAGTGCTCTTAACAGCCATCTCTCTGGCCCATTTTGTTCTTTTTTTTTTTTTTTAATTGGCATGTATTTATACAAAGTAATAGGCTTCATAAAGATGCTTTTATTCAAGCCTATCATATTTTTATTATACTTACCTGGGTTGTCCATATTTAATCCTAAAGTATTTGTTCATTGAACTAAAGTTAAATACCAAATTAAAATCCTTATATTGAGGGTGTGTATGTATGTGTGTACATACGTGTGTCAGAGTGGTGTGCATATGTAGAGGCCAACCGTGTCTTCTGCAATTCCACCTATTCCTTTGAGGCAGGGTCTCTTCCTGAACCGGGGCTCCTGCTTTCTAGGCCACTAGAAGCCAGCAAGCCCCCAGTGACCCTTCTGTCTTTGCCGCCCACCGGAGCTGGGGTTACAGGTGTGTGTGAGATGACAGCTTGTTTTGTGGGTGCAGGGGTGTTAACTCCAGTCCTCACAGTTGCACAGCTCCCATGCCCCCCTTTTAAAAAACAACCTTCTGCTCTGCATCCCGTGTTGACTATGAACTCATTGTATAGTTCATGCTGCTCTCCATCTTGTAGCAGCCCTGCCTCAGTCTCCCGTGTGGGAAGACAGGTGGGAGGCACTATGCCTGGCTGGCTACACTGACATACCACCTTCATTCAGTGCTTTAAAGGGAACAGGTACCACACAGTAGGAGTCATCGGATTCTCCCCTGGAGGACTCTGCTTGTAGGAAAAGAGGTGTCATGGCTGACACTGGCCACTAGAGGCTCTCAGGGCTGGGCAAGGTATGGGGTCTGTGTATATGTGATCTCCCACCACTCCCCACCTGGCCAGAGCTAAAATAATAAAATGCTGAGCTCACTGTTCCCCCACTCTCTCCCCCGGCACCAGACTCCTCCCGCTGAGCGGACAGTGCCCCAGTGGAACAGACGGACCAACTGACAAGGGGAGGTGAGAGGTGCCAGTCAGGACTGGTAGGTGGGAAAAGCGGGGTCTTGTGGGTGAGGGCCTGGTGGGAGATGGGAAGAGTGGCTAAGGAGAGCGAGCTGGTGTGTCTCTGCCCCTGTCACCGTGTCTGTCTCTGCCACTTCCCCGCCTTGACTCTGTGCAGCCCAATGTTGTCAATGTCTCCCTTCAGGATCATCTGCCCTGTTAAGCGTCATGTGTAGGCAGAGTGCATTGTTCACACTGTGAAAGATTGCGAGTTTAACCATCCCACCACCCCTGGAGAAGGCAGTCTTTGCCCAGTGCTCCAGTGTCACCTTTCTGGTGACAGAGTATGGGAACTGAATGCCTTCTGAGGCCATATTGCCCTTCCCCCAGGCTGGAAGTGCCCAGCCGCTAAGCCTTCCTTTCCCTTACGATTTAGAACTTTAGCAAACATGAAAAGCGAGACCTTGGTCCTTTCTGATAAAGGAGGAGATGAGGATGGCATAAGAGGCCCCCGCTCCAACTCAGCCATGCTTTCTTGCTTACCCAGTTTTGAAAAAGGCCCGGGGAATGGGAAAGAGAGGAGGACTCTCCCTGGCGCTCTCTGCCACCCCCTCCCACCTTTCAATAGGAACTGGGCATGGAGCCAGCTGTGCTGGCAGGGCCTCCAGCAGCTGTGTCAGGGCAAGAGACGCTGTCGGGTAAAGTTGTAGGGGAGGGTGCGGCTGCCGGGAGCCTAGACTCCCCGTCCAGAAGGGCTGGAAAGTGCAGCAAGTGGCAGGGAAATTGTAACAACGAACAATCTCATCTTTCCATCCCAGGTAGACCCTGGCCTCCAAGGTACTTAGTTCTGTGACTAACCATGGCTGGACCTCTGTGTCCTCAGTGTCCATGTTTAACGACTTTTCCCATATCCCCAGGCTGTGAGTGTCACCCAGTGGGGAAGGGGGAGGGGCCACCATGTCATCATACCAGAAGGAGCTGGAGAAATACAGAGACATAGATGAAGATGAGATCCTAAGGACCTTGAGCCCTGAAGAGCTAGAACAGCTGGACTGTGAGCTACAAGAAATGGACCCCGAGGTAGGGTACCCGCACTGGGGTCAGAGCATCCCTGCACATGTGGGAAGGACAGTGGATGCTGGGTGGCTGAGACCAGGGCCTGAGCTAGACAGGGTACCCGCACAGGGGTCAGGGCATCCCTGCACATGTAGGAAGGACAGTGGATGCTGGGTGGCTGAGACCAGGGCTACCAACAGGACCTGGAATCCCAGAAGGGCCAGGAAAAAGATGTCTGGAGAGTGCCTGACTTGTTCCCCAAAACTCATCCCTAAGAATATGCTCCTGCCAGCTGGACTGAGACAACGTGACCAGACAAAGAAGAGTCCGACTGGGCCACTAGACCGAGATGCCCTGTTGCAGTACCTGGAGCAACAGGCGCTAGAAGTCAAGGAGCGTGATGACTTGGTGCCCTTCACTGGCGAGAAGAAGGGTATGGGCACCCTAACATCTATGCCCTCCAGAAACCAAATGGCTGTTTCTTGCACCTCCCTGTCAGCTTCCCTCCCCGATTCTGGCATCTCTCTGTCAGGGGCTCAGGTCCTGGACAGCTACATTTTATTCTGTTCTCCAGTTTTTTTTATTTTTGAGATCTCAGTGTGTAGCCCAGGTTAGCCCTGACTGAGCTAGCCGACCTACTAGCTCAGCTTGCCAAATGCTGAGATTCCAGACACCTCACCAGCCTGTACTCTTCAGTTTTTCTGAGAGAGGAGAGGACAGGACTGAAGAATCCTGTTCTTATAGAGAATTCAGGCTTCGTTCTGAACCCACATGGAGAAGGAAAGGAAGGTGGAGGCTGCCACTTTGGAAGAAATTACCTCTACCTGAACTGTCCTTCATCTCTCTATCAGGGAAACCCTATATTCAGCCCAAGAGAGAAATCCCAGCAGAGGAACAGATTACACTGGAGCCCGAGCTGGAGGAGGCACTGTCCCATGCTACAGATGCTGAAATGTGCGACATTGCAGGTGGGCGGCTGCAGGGAGCTGAGGAGCGGGGGAGGATGGGGCTTGTGGCATCTTTATCTTGACTCAGAACTAGAAGGAAAGATCGGAGCCAGGACAGGACGTCCAAGAAAGCCTCAGGCAGTGGGTTTTAACTTTTCTTATTTGTTTGCTTGTACACTGGCTCATTCTTTTTTTTTTAATTTAATAAGTTAACATCTCAAGAGCAGCTTTCCAGGGATTGTGAAGGCAGATGCAAGTAGAGCTGTTCTGGCTGAAGGCGGCAGGCAGAGGACCTCTGCAGATGGTCCTGACCCTCCAGTGGCTGCTCCAGGGCCTTCCCTGAGCCCTCTCCTGTTTAGAAATCCCTCCATGGCAGGTCTATGGAGGGGACCCCTGGAGCTGAGGGAGGGTGAGAAAGTCTGCAGGGGTGGAAGGTCAGGAGAGAGAGGCAGGAGGCAGGCTTGGGGCAGGCACCTTAACCCCGTGCCCCTCTGCTTACCCTCGCCAGCGATCCTGGGCATGTACACGCTGATGAGCAACAAGCAGTACTACGATGCCATCTGCAGTGGGGAAATCTGCAACACCGAAGGCATCAGCAGTGAGTGTGCCCGGGAAGCGTGCCCACCCCCAGCCCCCAGGAGGCTGCAAGCGTGAGACATGGTGCATGAAGGCCTAGAGGGCCGACGGGAGAGATGATGAAGGGGGATACGCTGGGGTTTCCTTTCTGCTCTTGTCCCCACCAGGTGTGGTGCAGCCTGACAAGTACAAGCCGGTACCAGATGAACCCCCAAATCCCACAAACATCGAAGAGATGCTAAAGCGAGTTCGAAGCAATGACAAAGAGCTGGAGGAGGTGAACCTCAATAACATACAGGTATTTGGCTCCCACCCCCAAACAGTAACAGGAGGAACTGTTGAGGCACGAGTCTTTAGTCCACCGTCCTGTGCCCCTTTAGGACATCCCCATACCTGTGCTAAGCGACTTATGCGACGCAATGAAGACGAATACCTACGTCCGGAGCTTCAGTCTGGTGGCCACCAAGAGTGGTGACCCCATCGCCAATGTAAGGCTGGCTGACATTCCCAGTGCTCTGCCCTGTCATGCACCCCTGGCAGGGGCTCTCTTTATGGGTCACACTAGGGGATGCTGTTCCCATCATGCTTTCTATGGCAGCCCTCAGGGATCCGGACCCTTACTCCTCTGGCTCACAATTCTGAAGTCCTGAAGGCGCCCCCCCACCTCAAAACAACCTTCCCCGACACCCTCAATCCCACCAGTGACCCTAATCTTCATGCTTCCCCCAACTCCCCAATCCTGGCTCCTCCTGCCTCACAGCTCCTCACAGGAGCTCACAGAATCGCGCAGAACTGTTTCCCTCCTTCCCCCATCCTGCCTGTCCTATGAAACTGTCCCTAACCCAAGTCTCCACCATGCAGGCGGTGGCTGACATGTTGCGTGAGAACCGGAGTCTCCAGAGCCTGAACATCGAATCCAACTTCATCAGCAGCACAGGACTCATGGCCGTGCTGAAGGCCGTCCGGGAAAACGCCACTCTCACCGAGCTCCGTGTAGACAACCAGGTCAGCATCCCGTTCCCCAGGGCTTCCTTCAGCTAACGCCCATTGAGCTCCTCCCTGGGCGGCTCATGGTCCCGGCAGCAAGGGGAGCCGGCTCTGTCTTCACCTACTCTAGAGAAACAAGCCTCTCGACTTCCCAGAGGTCCACGGGCTGGGATGGTGAGGGACCACCGTATCTGACAGCCTTTACCTCCCCATCCTCAGCGCCAGTGGCCTGGTGATGCAGTGGAGATGGAAATGGCCACGGTGCTAGAGCAGTGTCCCTCGATTGTCCGCTTCGGGTACCACTTTACACAACAAGGACCGCGAGCTCGGGCAGCCCAGGCCGTGACCAGGAACAACGAACTGCGTACGTAAGCGCAGACCCTGTGCAGAGGAGGGCACGTGCTGAAATGGGCAGATAGTCCTGAAGACAGACTCAGTGATAAATGCTTGGGGGGCGGGGGGGGGGGGGGGGGGGCTGGCAAACACACGTGGAGATGAGGGAGCTGGGAAAGAGAGGCGAAAGTCCTTCTTCCCCCAGCAGAGAAGCAGGACGGAAGCTCGGCATGACGGCACCTGCAGAGACATGGTCCTTTTCTTTTCCAGTGTGTGTTTTGGATTTTGTTGTTAACATGGGACAGGCTCATCAGGTGGCATGAGGCAGCCACTCCTTAGGGGCGAGGAAGAGAAATACGCCTTTGCCAACAAGAGATAGAGCTGTGTTCACTGTTATCCCTTTACAGGTCGCCAGCAAAAGAAGAGATAGCGTCACCCTTCCTTTTACCAACAAGAGATGAGAGCCCTGGACACATAAATCCTCATCTCTCTCCCCTTTCCTGTAAATAAAATCCCTTTTGTTCACGCCGCCTCTCTCCTTCCTTGGGCTGGGGTGGGAATCTTGGCGCTACCCCTCGAGGGTTACTGCCAGTTCATCAAAGGATTATTTATACTCTAGGGATCAGCAGGCAGGGAGGTTCAGGTTACTGGGGGGGGGGGGGGCTCTGTCCCTCGTGTTCCCCGTAAATCTGCCAAAGGCTTTAGTCTCTTCACAGGGTACTTGGCCTCAGTCCTCTTTGCAGACAGAGGTGGCCAGAGCCCCTTAGTGCCCAATCGCAGTCCACATGTGATCTGAAGAAAAAAAGACTTAGCGTGGAGGTGGGGAAGGAGTCGGACTACATGAAGGGCAGAGACCTCTTTCTGACAGACTTATTAATAGGGCACCGGGCTGAACGCAGCTGACGCTTGGCAAGGCTTTGGTAGAAGGTGGGGGAGGGGTCAGAAGTACGGGGAGCCGTGTACATTGCAGGGAAGGAGTGGCCAGGCTGAAGATGAACAGATTTGAAATCCTAAGGCTGGACAAGGAACCTGAGTTGAGGTCATTAGGATCCCAGGCCCCACTGTAGTTTATTTGTGGAACAAATGGGGAGAGGGATCATTAGTCCAAGGGGAGGTCAGGGGGTTCTTCCTCATCAGAGTCAAACTCAACATTTTCATCCTTTATCCATCGACCTTGTCCATCTGGGACCCATCCAGAGCTGGAAGCATCAGAGAAAAGACAATTGGTCAGAGAAGAGTTTTATGAAAAAGGTTCAGGGTGCTGAGTTCCCTCCCCGGGACCCACAGGGTAGAAACAAAGGACCAACCCCTATAAGTTACCCTCTGACCATCTCTGTAGTGTGTCCCTACATAAATAAACAAAGAATGTAATAATAAAACTTCCTGGTTATAAGAGAAAAGCAATTGGATTGGTTTGAAAAAAGGCAAGCCAGGGAAAAATGAATCAACCAGAGGACCGCAATCAGCAGACTGACCTTCGGAGGGTAAGGTAATGGTTCAGGACGCGTCGTTTTGTGGGGCTCATGGGTGCAGAGGCCAGGGGAGCTGACGACTCTTTGGCATGCGATCCTGCCCTAGGCTCAGGTTCCCGACTGATCTTTGCGCTCTGGAGTCCAACCTCTGGGGCTGGCGACGGAGAACTGGACACGGAGGGGGCAGGGGCTTCTGGTCTGGGCAGAAAAGAACCCAAGGCTGTAAAATGCAGTGAAGGAGAGCAGCAGCTACTCAGTGCCTCCCAAGCCCCAAGAGCAGTGTTTCCTAGACTCAGTTCCTGAAGAAAAAAAATTCTTTTTTCTTTTTCTTTCTTTTTTTTTGAGATAGGGGACAGGGTCTTACTATGTACTCATGGCTGACCTCTGTAGAAAAGGCTGTCTTCGAACTTACAGAGATTCACCTGCCTCTCCCTCCTGAGTTCTACACCCAGCTTGAGTTCCATAAGGTCTTAAATATTCTACATATGAAAGATTTTGAAATGAGAATTCAAATTCCTTAGTTTTTGTCTCAAGATTGTCCATAGCCAGGTATGGCAGTACACACCTTTAATATCACCACTTGAGGGGCAGAGGCAGGCAGATATCTGTGAGTTCGAGGCCACCCTGGTCTCAATAGCAGGGTTCCAAGACAGCCAGGGCTACAAAGTGATCCCCTCTCAATAAGAAACAAACAAAAAAGTGTATCACCATGCCCAGCTAATGCTTTGTTTTGTTCTTTTTTTTCCTCTGTAGCCTAGCTGACCTGGAACTCGTTCTGTAGACCAGGCTGGCCTTGAACTCAGAGATCTACCTGCTTCTGCCTCCCAAGTACTGGGATTAAAGGTGTGCATCGACACCCCCCGCCCGGCCCAGGGTTACTAGTCTCCACTTCCTAAAATTTATTTTAAAATCACAAACTATCATTTCTTTAGACGACATCTCCACAAGACTGATATTTCTCAGAACACAACTGGACAGCACTAACTTTAGAACCATCTATTCCCTTCTACCCCTTCCCACTTCTGGCTTTCCTACCCCACAGACCTGTGCTTCCTCCGGCAGCAACTGTTATAGTGGGGAGCTCTGTGCAGAGCACTCTGTGTGATTAATCGAGTCTGGGTTAGCAAAGGAGCCTGAGAATGGAGAGGAGACACAGTCAGGGCTGTTGAGAGCAAAGTCCCTTCCACGCTGTTGCATGCAGCCCCGCCTGCACAACAGCTGGCCGCCCTCTCACCTCCGCTTCGCTGGCTGTCTTCAGCTCACTCTGCTGTCTTGGGCTGTGCGCTGTTTCCTTGCCCGACTGCTTTTTGCCATAGAAAAGCTTCAGACCTGAGAAGAAAAGCAAAGGGAATGCAAAGCACAGCCCCAGGTGGCTTTATTCTCTATCATCATAGAGTTTATTCTCTCTCATCCTTCCCCCGCTTCTCCTCTACTTACTGGACAGATGCTTCTTGCCTGCACGGTGGGCGGTCAGCATGGCCAGGGTGTCCAGGACTGGTCGATGGGGGCAGATGGCACAGGCAAAGCTAGGGGAGAGAGAAGAGAAGGGAATGATAAACCCGTGTGTGCTGGAGAGCGGGCGGTCCAGGCGTTCCTGCTGGAGCAGGGGCTATCCTTGTCAAAGCACTCCGCCAACTCCCAGCTCTTCCGATCTCCACCTCTCCCAATCTCCATTTCCCACCAAAGAATCCTATTGCACTCCAGCTCTCCGCAGCAACAAAAGCTGGTTGAGCCTCTGATGGCAAATCCCCAGGCTCGATCCGCTCTTCGCTCTCACCGTCCATCCCGCAGCATCAGCGCCTCATCTTCTGGGATGTAACTGGCCAGCAAGTCTCCGACTCTTCGTTTCTGCAGCGAGCAGGACAGGAGAAACGAATAAGTGGGACGGAGGAAAGGAAAATAAGAGGGATGAAGAGTCAAACGGAACGGGGCCGTGCTGATCATAGGGTAGAAGAAGGAGGCATCACTCGATTGTGGTACCCTAAACCCCATCCCCCAGATGTCGCAACAGGCTCAGCCGCCCCGCCCCCCGTCTTGTTTTTCGAGACAGGGTCTCTTTGTGTAGCCTTGGCTGTCATAACTAGCTGTGTAGCCCAGGCTGGCCTCGAGCCTCGAACTCGCAGAGATCCGCCTGCCTCTGCCTCCCCAGTGCCGGGATCACAGGCGTGCGCCGCCGCCGCCCGTGGGCAGATTCTCACGAGGGCTTACTTTGAGCACATTGAGCTGACTCCAGTCGTCCCCTTCCCTCTTGAAAGACATCGCGACTGTGACTCCCAGAAAGGATAAATTCTCCTACGCCGCCTTCGCCTCTCCCTCAGGCCACCGTAGGGAGAGTAGGTGATCGCCTTCCCTGCTTCCGGTCTTTTTCCCCGGTTGAGTCTGTACTTCCGGGGACGCACTTCCACGCATGCGCCGCGCGAGCCGGAAGACCCGCCTCCAGCGCCCTGAGGGGGCCTGCATTTCCTATGACGCCCCGAGGACGCTGTGCCTCATGGGAAATGAAGTCTTTTAGTTATTTTTGTATTTTTCCAAAGCGCTGACCGCTCACCTGAAGACAGGCCCTCTAATCTCGAAGAATTGGGGTGTCTGGAGACCAGGAACCTCTATGTGGAGCCGGAGTCTCCGGGCGGGACCCTTCGGAGGGCAGCGAGGCATCGGGGGTCGCAGGGGACCGTGTACTGCAAACTCCCGGCGTCCACAGCCCCCACCTACCTAGGGTGGGCCTGATTTGGAGCAGAGGGGCTGGGGGGGCTCCTGGCGCCCCGGCTGCTGGCGGTGGGGACAGAGTGAGGGAAGAGCGTTGATGAGGGTGTCTAGGGTTCAAAGGTCAGAGATCAGGCCTGCGAGGAGGAGGAGGAGTTGGGGAGGGGGCGCCGAAAGTCGGAGAGGTCAGCGACTGACGACTCAGGGAAGATGTTTATGGGTAAGGGGCTGGAGGGAGGAGAAATGTAACCGGCTTGGCAGCCGTCTTAGGGTACGGACTGTGGCCCCCAAGCTCGGTACGCAGCAGCGAGAGGAGGAGGAGGAGGCTGATGTAGTCTCTCGAGAGCGGGGAAACCGGAGAGAGACGTGAAAAGGAATTCCCTGGGTGTCTGTTCCTTGGGTTCGGCCCTCGCTGTTGGGCACTTAGCCGGGCTTTCCGCAGTCGTGACCCTCGATCTTGGCATCCTGAGGAGATAGATGGCTTCTCCCTCCAGACAGCCTCCGCTCGGGGGCTCAGGGCTGCTGCATGGGAGCCGTACTCGTTCTTATGGAAGCCTGGTACAGTCATCCTGCTCCCCAGTGAGGGAAAGACGCCTGGAGCATCAGCTGGAGCCTGGAGACACCCTGGCTGGACTAGCACTCAGATACGGGGTGACGGTGAGTCTTCCAAGGAGTGGGGTGTGATGACCATTAGGAGAGATTTAGTCCCCAGGAGAAAGTGGGTGGCCCGCTAAGCAGCCTCCCCTGACATCATTTTAATTTACTGTGGTCTGCTGCTTTCTCTTTCTTACGTTGTTTTCACGTAGCATGTTTTCAGTGTAGCACTGTCGAATTGGGACACATCTGCCCCACTCTCCCAGTGGGCGGAGCAGCTCCTGTGGGTTGGGTTGGACCAGGGGGAGGGCTTATAGCCATTAACCTGTTTGGACCTTGTGTCCCTATCAGTTTGAGACTTAAGACTGATAACCAGTTTGAGCAAGGTCGAATAACTTGAGTATCAGAGTGCGGCTTCAGATAGGCCTGTCTGACTCCAAAGCCCCTGCTGTTGGCCACACAGAAAACTGAGAGACACTAAACACTTACAGCAAGTCAGGAAGAGTTGAGTTAGCAGAGCTCCTAAAGTGTCTGTTTCTAGTTCTTATTCTGCTCTAGGGCTGGGCTGTCTCTCCAAAGGCACAAAACAAGTACCCTCTACGTCCATCAAGTCTTTCTGGCCACACCTAGGAGAAGTCTGATGGGCATAAAAATTAAAGTCGTAGCCTTCCCCTCTAAATCCTCTTCTACCACAAACAGATGTTGACTCTAGACAAATTTCCACACTTGCTGTACTTAAAGCATTACAGTAACCCTTCCTGGAGCTAAAGCGTAAGTGTCGATTGGTGTGCTCATGTGATTGCCGTTCTCCTGAGAAATGGAGAGGAAACAGTGGCTATGTGAAGAATATCCATCCACAAGGGGGAGGAAATCAGGAGCTATTCATTTCTGTGTGGAAGCAGAGTGGGGTAGCTGATGGCTTTTTGAGGCGAGGGTGAGGGTGGATTTTCTGGTCAGCACGTCACTGTGTAGCCTAAGCTGGTCTGGACCTTACAGTGTTCTTGTATTGTGAGAGCTGAGTTGAGGACTGTGAGCACAGCACTGTGGGCCGCAAAGACCTAGGAACTGTTCTCTGTGTTCCCTTCTACAAAGCTGTTCTTTTTTTAAAGATTTATTTATTTATTATGTATCCAGTTCTTCCTGCATACCAGAAGAGGGCAGATGGTTGTGAGCCACCCTGTGGTTGCTGGGAATTGAACTCAGGACCTCTGGAAGAACAGACAGTGCTCTTAACCACTGAGCCATCTCTCCAGCCCCTACAAAGCTGTTTAACCCAGATGTTTATCTCCTTGTCTTCCAGCAGTCCACAAGCTCTTTAAGAGCAGAAATAGTTTCCTTTCAACTTTCTGTCTCTAAATTCTGGCATAGTCTCAATTACATGGAGGTTTAAAAGATGTCTGAAAGCTGCCTGGCATGGTGGCACACACCTTTAATCCCAGCACTCAGGAGGCAGAGACAGGGGGATCTCTGTGAGTTTGAGGCCAGCCTGGTCTACAGAGTGCGTTTCTGGACATAGAGAAACTGTCTCAAAGGGAAAAAACAAAAATGTCTGAAAGCCAAGCTTGGTGACATCAGGATGCCTGGGCAGAGGGGTTCAGAGTTTCAGACCAGGTTCAATACAACAAGACTGAGGAGGCTGGTGAAGGGTAGTTCAGTGGTAGAATTCAGAAGGGAGACAAGGCTAGACACTTCCTGTGGGGGCTAAATAGAGAGAGTCCTTGAATCCCCATTTGGATTTTATTGCTTAGCCAATGAGGAGCCATAGGAAGTTGCTAAGCCAGCTAGAGGGTTAATCAGATTTATTTTTCTAGATTTCAAGAGAAAGATATGTGGGCATCAAGGAGGAAGAGCAGTTAAACGGAATGATTAATCCAGATGAGAAATAGTGAGTGTGGTGTTAGTGGGCAAGAATGTGAGGTCACATGTGAGATTTTTCGTTTATTTATTAATTAATTGTTGGAGATCTGCTGGGGAGCCAACCTCGGGCTTTGTACACGCTGGGCAAGCACTGTACCATGGAGCTGCAACTATAACCCACCCAGATTTATTTATTTTATTATTAACCGGGGTCTCACAATGGAGCTTGCTTGGCTTCACACTCAGAAATCTACCTGCCTCTTCTTTCAAGTGCTGAGATTAAAGATGTGCACTGTCACTGGGTGGTGGTGGTGGTGGTGGTGGTGGTGGTGGTGGTGGTGGTGCACACCTTTGATCCCAGCACTCAGGAGGCAGAGGCAGGGGGTTCTCTGAGTTCAAGGCCAGCCTGGTCTATACAGCAAGTTCTAGGATAGCCAGGGCTACACAGAGAAACCCTGTCCCAAACAACCGGGAGGTGGGGGTGTGTACACTACTATACCTAGCTCAGCCTTATTATTTTATTTTAAATTTATTTTTTGTGTCTTGCTTGCTTGCATATCTGTGTGCCATGGGGGTGCCTAGTGCCCATGGAAGTCAGGAACCAAGAACTAGAATTACAGATGGTTGTGAACCACTCACTATGTGGGTGCTGGGAGTTGAACCCTCTTCTGCAAGAGCACCAGGTGCTCTTAACCATCTCTCCAGACCCTCAGCTTTCATTATTAAGACTTTAAATTCTACTAACTAACCTGTTTTGTTTTGTTTGAGACAAAGTCTCAGGGAGCCCAAGCTAGCCTCAAACTCATGTAACGAAAAATTACCTTGAACTCAAGGTCTTCCTGCCTCTCCAGAGCTGGGATTATATACTTATGCTTGGTAGCTTTTAAATAAATGAAAGTGTTGTAGGTTGGTTTTCTTTTTGTTTTTTTGCCTCAATAATTTTTTTAAATGTGAAGGTGTCCTAAAACTAGAAAATATGAAAAACTGTAAAAACTATAAAACGAGATTAACATCAGCCCTGTATAGTTTAGCTAGTTTGTTATGAAGTCAAATAAAATTGTACAATTACTTACAAAGTTTGAGTTGGTGGCCTAGGAAGGCGCTCAGCTGGTAACCAGCTGCCTCTGGGCTCCACTCAAGTGCACGTGTCCCACCACACACCCCAGGAAGAAAAGTCTGAGATACCAAGCCAGGCTTGTTGTCAGAAAAGCCTGCCCTACATAGTAAAAAAAGGAAGACCAAAAGCTTTCAGTGCTATATAAGATTGGTAGATTTTACTGTCGGTCATTAATTTGGGGTGATTTTTCTTTTAAAGATGGAACAGATTAAGCGTACAAACCGCCTTTATACTAACGACTCCATCTTCCTGAAGAAAACTCTCTACATCCCCATCCTGACAGAGCCCAGAGACCTATTTAATGGTTTGGATTCTGAGGAGGAAAATGACGGAGAGGAAGAGGGACGACCTAGTGAGGATGATGTTGGCTCACATTCAGTGAGGAGGAAGAGGAATCAAGAGTCAGGTTCAGGCCGGGCCAAGGGCGAAACCCTCCCGTCTCACCGGGAGACCTCCACACCCATCCATGACCTTTCTGCCTCGGATTTCCTTAAGAAGCTCGACTCACAGATCAGCCTGTCCAAGAAGGCAGCTGCCCAGAAGCTGAGGAAGGGGGGAAGTGGGTGAGTCTGCAGCTGTTCCCTCTGCGTCCTTGCACGGACCCTTTTCTCCCAGCGAATCACAAACTAATAAGTAACCAACGTGCCCGAAAAGCCAGACCGTAGCTTTCCCCCCAAATGGCTCCCAAGACCGTGAGCGGAGCCGGCGGCAGCTGGAATGGGGTGAGGCGGTGGGAAATAGGTTCTGTGGGTTCTCTGTTCTCACAGCTCTCTCTAATGTAAGAACTAGGCAGCGGTGTTAAGACAAGTAGTTTTCCAGATTTTGAGACTCCATCCACCTCAGGAAACAAAGGGAGGCAGCCGCCCTCCACCTTTTCTTTTGTCCTTTCTCAGGCTCTTGCCTCAATCTATTGCTCTTTCTTCCTTCCCTCACCTGCAGGGTACCTGAGGAGGGTGTGGGCCTCCACCTCAGCTCCCCCAGGATGCAGCAGCGGGCAGTCCTTGGTCCTGTGCCACTGACCCGGACCTCTCGAACCCAGACATTGCGGGACCAGGAAGATGAAATCTTCAAACTCTGATGTCTCCAGAACTGACGAGAACATGATGTTGAAGGAACAGCTGGGTGGGAGAGGAGTCTGAGGTGAGGCTCAAAGCAGAGCTTCCCAGCCTGCCTCACTCCTCTCCGGCCATCTTGCCCAGCCTCTTTGTCAAGATTCCCTCATCTGGGGACACTTTTGGCAAGAGTAGGGGATGGGACATAACTTTCCCCAGTTCTTGGGCTGAATCTAGAGTTCTCCTGAGATTCAGAGCTCTTTTATGTCCTGGCTGTCCCTTTCACCATTCCCTGGGTTAGGGCAGGGAAGCAGAGGACTCCCACCCCCTCGCTAAGGATGTTCCCTAATTTATTTGGTGCTATATTGAAGTAATATTTATTTGCTATATCTAACTCCTTCCTCCTCTTAACTGAAACAGTGTGATTTCTGTGTCACTGAAGAGAGGGAAGCCCAGAGCAGTGGTGGGGGGGGGGGTGCTCACCTTCCCCAGCTCCCTCGGGGAGCATGTTACTGAGGCCAAGAGAGCCAGGGAAAGTCACCACGGAGAAGCGTGGGCAGCGCTGAGTCCTTTCCCCGCTCACGGCGAAGGACAGGAGCTGGGTCATAGCTGCGCAATTCCCCATAACTCCGTCCAGCTCTCGGCTCTGAGGAGGGCGGTGGGGTAGGGTACTGACTGAGCTCTCCGGTCCACCACTTCCCTCTTCTTCCCGCTCCTCTGCTTGGCCGGTGGGGCTAAGGGGTGGAAGAGGATGCCTCGGGGTTCAGAGGAGGCAGGTTCGAGCACAGCCCCAGCCTGCCTCTGCCTTGTCCTCCCTTCGTGTTTCTCCGCGACCTCCAGCCCTGATCTGCAGTACAGTTTGTCTTTTGTTCCTTACGCTGAGGAAGCAGGCATGGCAGCCCAGCGGTCCCGGAGTCGGCCTGGCTCCCGCTCAGGAATAGGGAACGGCGACATGAGTGTTGTTTCCCGACCTCTCCTCTATGTCAGACCTGAGTACGGAGCTGGCGAGATTAAACAGAGAGCCCTGGACATGTTTGAGTGGTTTTATTTCCCGTGTCTCCCCTCCCCCGGCCCCGGTATGTGTCCAGCTCTAGATCTCGGGGGGCTTCCGAGGGCCACCTTCCTGCCCCCGGCCCCCAGGACCCCTTCCTTGGGTTTGTGGAGGAGGAGGAGGATCCCGTTCCGGGCAGTCCTCCCGGGAGCAGCAGACCCGAGTTTCACTTCATCTTCCTCAATCAGCTGTTTCCTTTGCTGACCCTGGATGGGAGAGGCGCCTCGCTCAGCTCCGCGTGCTCCTTCTCCGCCAGCTGTTTGGGGGTGGGGGTGACCTCGTGTCAGCGTCCCTCTCGGGAGAGAACGAAGCCAGGGGGTAGAGAAGTACTTGCGCAGGGTTAGAAAGCCCGGTCCGTCATTGCCGAAGTCCGGAGTGCCGGGCCGGGGCTCAGAGCTTGCCCTCGTCCAGCAGCCTGCGGAGCCCGTCGCAGATCTTGCCGAGGTGCTGAGCGAAGTCGGGCCCGTAGAGGGCAGCCAGCAGGTCCGGGTCGGCGTAGTGGTCGAACACGTGCCGGATGCGGTCGTGGGACTTGGGGGTGAGGTGGTGCTCCACCAGCTCCAAGAGGATGTCCCGGCACTCGGTGAGCAGGCCCGCCAGCACGGCGGCCTCGAAGGTGAAGTCCACCTCGCCGAAGCTGAGGGCCGTCATGGCGCCCTGCCGCAGCTTCTGGCGGAAGCGCGTGGCCAGAGCCAGCTCCCCGGGACTGAAGCAGCCGCTGCGGTGCAGCACGGCCACCTTGACGGCCACCTTGATCAAGTCTTTGATGACGCGCTGTGCCGTGGGCCGGCTGTGCGTGTAGTCTTTGGACACACGGTACAGCTCGTCCAGCACCTCGCTGCTGGTCTCGTCGATGAAGAGGTGAGCCACGGACCGGCCGGCCATCTTACTCAGGAGCTTCTTCTCGGCCTGCAGTGCCAGGCTCTTGGAGCTGAAGGACTCCATGGCACCGGGGTGGGCGTGTGGTCAGTGACTAGAAGAGGCCACAGCTTCCTGGGAGACAGAGAGAGAAATGGCTTTCCCCCCCCCCCCCCGTTTTCATCGCCGGGCCGCTTTGTCCTCCCTCAGCCCTGGGCCCCTCCATCCTGTAAGCCCCGCTTCTGCTTTTTCCCTCACTGCTGTAAACTAAGACATGTGCGTCTCCCAAACAGCACAGAGGAGCAGGGAGCGCCCTGGCTGGAGGAGTGGGTATAACTGGAGTCTCAGAGCAGGAAACTGCTGCCACCGATGGAGAGCCTAGTGCCCGTTTGGCAGGGAATTGGAATGCATGCCAGTTTTGGACACTAACTGTATGTCCTGCGTCCATAGAAACATAGGCATTACCCTCGTGTTTCCAGGCTTGAGATCAAAAGCCCATGTCAGCTGGGGTACCACAGAGCCTGAAAAGAAGTGGGACATATATGGGTCTTCAGATTCCTAATGAGAAGAACACTTGGTGCCGGGCGGTGGTGGCTTTAGTCCCAGCACCTGGGAGGCAGAGGCAGGTGGATCTCTGAGTTCAAGGCCAGCAAGAGTTGTTAAAACAGCGACACCCTGACTCAAAAAAACCAAAGAAAAAGCACTTGGCATTTCCAGAGACCTACTGTGTGCACGTGCTTGATATGAACTGCCTCAGTTTTCCAACTCCATAAGGGCAACAGTCCTATTTTACAATGAGAAATCTCCAGGCTAAGAGAACTTTTTATTTTCTGAGATGGGGTTTCTCCGTGCAGTCCTGGCTGTCCTGGAACTCACTCTGTACAGCAGGCCTGCCTCTGCCTCCCTAGTGCTGGGATTACAGGCGTGTACCACCACCGCCCAGCAAGGCGAAGAGAACTTAGGCTTCTTGTCCTAGTAAATGATGAAAACAGGTTTCCAGGAGCCGGAGAGGTGGCTTGACTCACACTCACAGACGACTCACCATCGCCTATAACTCCAGCCCCCAGGGGACCCGGCACCTCTGGCCTCCACGGCCACACACGCACACGTACATAATTTAAAACAATCAAAAGAAATTACAGAACAATGTTAGGCTGCCAGCTAAATCATCCCTCCCAAAACCCCTTCTAACCAGGAGTGGTGCCGATGAGGTCGCGGCCCGCTGGGGAAGGCTGGGCAGCCGCAGTGGGGTCCGAGCCGAGGCCCTCCTGGCGGTGTAGCCTGGGCTAAGTCCAGGGCCCTCTCACCATGGTCCTCCCCAGTGCTTCTGCTTGTTTGCGTCTTACTTCCCCCTCCCCTGCTCTGCAGGATGTGGCTGTGACCGCAATGGGGAGCAGCCTCACCCTCTCCCCCAAATGAAAACGGGAGTCTGAAGAGGCACAGGGGGAGAGCCGGGGGGCTTTCTCCCCCAGCTGGATCGCTCCACTAGGAACCTGCAGCCCTGATTTGTTCCTGGCCTGCCCTGGGCTTGGCCGGACTGACCTCCCCAGTGGGTCTGATTGCTCCCGATGAGCCGTCCTGCCTTCCTGGCTCCCCATGGCCTCTGTTGCCATCTCCAGTTAGGTCCTCAGCCCCCTCAAGGTCCCTCTGTCAGTTGCCTTCTGTCTCTAGCCTCTGCGTCATCCCCATGAACCTCTAGCCTGGCTAGGCTTTCACTTTGCAGCCCTGAGCTTCCATGTCCGAAGATACCTCCGACACACCCCGTTGCCTACCTCCATCCGTCAGCTACGCTCAGCCCTCACCCCAAGCCAGGACTCGCTTTCAGATTAGCCTTGCCCCAGCCACTGAAATGGTTGGTTCTGGTGAGGCCCCAAGATTTCTACAAGTGAAAGTTTCACAGTACAGAAAGGTAAGGGTAAATGGGTAGGAATACCTGTCACTGTCACCCCAAAACCTGCCCTTCTGTCACAGCCAGTCTCTCACCTGCTGGGTGCTGGGCGCTGGGCGCTGGGTGCCGGGTGTCAGTCTTGCCTTGGATGTTCCTGAGAGCTAACAGAATGGAGAAGCTCCTAAGTGAGAGGCCCTTTGGTCTAGCCCCACCCCAAGCCCCGCCCACCTACTCTAACCTCCGGTTCATCACCACTGTCACCAAGAAGGCCTGTGTCCCAAGAGCCACCTAGAAATAAGACAAAGGTCAAAAGGAATGGGATTCCGTAGGAAGCTCCAGCTTGAGGCGGGAAGGACGGACTGCGCACCCTCCACCCGAATGGCCGCTTCTTTCTTGCTGTCTAATATTCTCGCGGTCCCGAGAACAATGCAGAGTCCAGGTTTTTAAGGTGGGAGTCGGTGAAGAGAGCACCGAAGACCGTCCAGGGCTGCAGTAGGACAGCGTCCTCGCCAGCATCTTCAGGCCTGGGCAGGTAAGACTGGCCCGGACTGCCCTGGCCTTCAGGACCGGCAGGAGGCAGGTGCCAATGTTAAGGCGGCTGAGCCATATGTGACCAGCAGGTGTCAGCATGGAACTGAAACACTAGGGGACCAAGTCCAGAGCGTAGGAGCTGTTAGAGGGCCTGAAAAAAGAGAGCCGTTTCCAGCCAGGCAGAAGTATTTGCTATTAAGATTCTAGCAGTGGCGATGGTGGCGCACGCCTTTAATCCCAGCACTCGGGAGGCAGAGGCAGGTGGATCTCTGTGAGTTCGAGGCCAACCTGGTCTACAGAGGTAGTTCTAGGACAGCCAAAGTTACACAAAGAAACTCTCTTATTCAAAAAAAAAAAAAAATTCTAGCAGTGGATGCACATGTCTTTAATCCCAGCAGCACTCAGGAGGCAAAGGCAGATGGATCTCTGAGTTCCAGGTTAGCTTGGTCTACAGAAACACTGTCTGTAGAAACATCTGCCTGCTGAGTGCTGGGATTAAAGGCATTCGCCATCACTGCCCAACCAGCCACCAGCCCAGGTGCTCACAGTGAGCTGGGCCCTCCCATATCAACCATCAACCAAAAATTGCACCACATCTGGGTGTGGTGGCGCACACTTTAGGGAGTCAAAGGAAGACAGATCTCTGTGAGTTCAAGGCCAGCCTGGTCTACATAGTAAGGTCTAGGCCAGCCAGGGCTACATAATGATAGTGAGAATCTATCTCAATGGTTTTTTTTTGTTGTTGTTGTTGTTTGCTTTTTTTTTTTTTTAAAGATAGGGTTTCTCTGTGTAGCCCTAGCTGCCCTGGAACTCACTCTGTAGACCAGCCTGGGCTCAAACTCAGAGATCTGTCTGCCTCTGCTCCCGAGTACTGGGACTAAAGGTGTGCACCACCACCCCTGGCCAAAACTTTTGATTCTTTTTTAAAAAAATAATTTATTTAATTTTATTTTATGTGCATTGGTATGAATGTATCGGATCTCCTGGAACTGAAGTTACAGACAGTTGTGAGCTGCCATGTGGGTGCTGGGAATTGAACTCAGGTCCTCTGGAAGAGCAGCCAGTGCTCTTAACCACTGGGCCATCTCTCCAGCCCCCCAACGTTTTATTCTTAATTAACTAAAAGTTACAGAAATTGAGACTTAGCCTATAAGATGTTTGCCATTCATGTGAACACCTGAGTTTGATCCATAGCACTTAGCTAAAAACACCAGGCAAGGCAGAGCACACCAGTGAGACCAGTGCAGGAGGCAGAGACAGGGGAGGGGGAGTGAGGGGTGGGGGCAGTGAGTGGTGTCTCCCACGTGCTGGGCAGCCAGTCCACAAAGTTGACAAGCTTCAGATTCAGTGAGAAAGCTGTCTCCAAACCATAAAGTGGAGGTGACAGAGGAAGACATCCAACATTAACCTCTAACACACACACACACACACACACACACACACACACACACACACACACACACACATGAATTTGGAGGAAAGGCTGAGGAGATGACGGCACAGTGATTGAAGAACCTGCTGTTTTTCCAGAGGACTCAAGTTTGGTTACAACTGCCTGTAACTCCAGAGGACAAACACCCTCCTCCTGGCTCCAGGGGCACCCACAAGCATGTGCACCGATAAACAGACACAGAAATAATAAATCTTAGACTGGGTGTGGTCACCCATGCTTTTAATCCCAGCCCTAGGGAAGCAGAGGCAGGCAGATCTCTGAATTTCAGGCCAGCCTGGGCTACACAGTGAGACCCCATCTCAAAGAACAACGGGGAACTGGAAGGATGCCTCAGCACTCAAGAGCACTTGTTGCTCTTGCAGAGGAGCCAGGCTTGAATCTAGACCCCCATGTGGTGGCTCACAACCACCTGTAACTCCAGTTCCAGAGGGGCCTGCACCCTCTTCTGACCTCTTCAGACACTGCACACACAGACACGCATGAAGACAAAACAACCATACACATGAAATTAAAAAATAAATTATATATTGTTATATATACCATAACAATATCTTACACATGTAAATACATATTATATATTCACACACACAAATGAATTCATGAGCATGAAGTGAGAGGCGAGAAAGTAGCCAGCATTTGTAGACTGTACTTTGCTAGATGTTAGTAAAGACCTTAGTTAAGCCTCAGAATTCCTTTTCAAGGGTAAGACAAACCCTTGTTTGTCATTTAGACCAGTTTGTTGCTTAGCATAAATGTAGATTAGGATGGCCTTGAACTCCTAATTGTATTGACTCTGCCTTCTAATTCATCACTATACCCCTGTGTGGTTTTGTTTTAGTTTGTTTTCTGATATGTAACCATGACTGGCCTGGAATGCAATATGTAGACCAGGCTGGTCTTGAACCTACAATGGATCCTCCCATCTCTGCCTGCGTAGTGCCCGGATTATAGGCATTGGCCACCATACCTGGCTTTGTGTATGTATGTGTGGGCGAGTGTGTGTGCGCACACACGAGTATGCGTGTGTGCATGCATGTGTGTGTGCGTGTGTATGCACATATGTACATGTGGAGGCCAGAGGACAATGCCAGCTGTCTTCTTCAGTTACTCTTTTTTTTTTTTAAAGATTTATTCATTTATTATGTATACAGCATGTATGACTGCAGGCCAGAAGAGGGCACCAGATCTCATTATAGATGATTGTGAGCCACCATGTGGTTGCTGGGAATTGAACTCAGGACCTCTGGAAGAGCAGTCGGTGCTCTTAACCTCTGAGCCATCTCTCCAGCCCCTCTTTGCCTTTTTTATTTTCAGCAGATTGAGTGTGGATTTACCACGGGAAAATGAAGGGAGCTACTGAGAGGAGCCCCCGCCCAGTTGTTTGTTTGTTTGTTGTCTAAATTTTAATTATAATTTGGGTGTATGCGCCTGGGTGTGTGCTTTTGGCACTCACAAGAGGAGTTGGATTCCCCGTAACAGCCCATGGAAGTCAAAAGAAACGTAAGATCCCTGGAGCAGGAGTTATGAGTCACCGTCTCACGGGTGCTGGGAACCAAGCCAGGGCCTCCGGAAGAGCAGTTAGTGTCCTGAGGAGCTGAGCATCTCTCCAGGTCCAGTTTACTTATTTTACTTATTTATTTATTTTGGTTTTTTGAGACAGGGTTTCTTTGGGTAGCCCTGGCTGGTCAACAAATTCCAGAACCTTCCTGTCTCTGCCTCTCCAGTGCTGACATTAAGGTTGCAGGCCAGCATCCCTGGCTTTCGTGTGGGGATCCACACTCAGGTCTTTGTGGTTCAGTGGCAAGCGCTTCACTGACTGACCATCTCCTTCAGCTTTGGAGGCAGCTCTCAAAAGCCGTAACCAGACAGGCTTCAAATCCACTCTCCTGCCCAGTGCTTCAAAATTGTCCCAGTTGTTGGCATTACATGTATATATTGTTATTTTCATGAGGAATGTACAATCTAGGTAGAAAATAAAAATAAGATGAATACATTGGACTGGGGGGCACAGGCCTGGAATCCCAGCTATCAGAAATGGAAGGCCAGAGGATGGCAAGTTCAAGGCCTGCCTGAAGTGCATCATGAATTAAATGCTGTGGGGGGCAATTTAGTGATTCTTCAAGTAAAAAACAAAGCCTAGGATATAACTCAGTAGTAGCTGCCTGGTGATTTCCAAGCCTTAGGAATATTCACTCCCAGTATTGATGAAGGAAAAAGAAAAGGAGAATGAAAATGCAGTAAAAAGTTCTTTTGTGTGTGTGTGTGTGTGTGGTTTTTTTTTTTTTTTTCGAGACAGGGTTTCTCTGTGTAGCTTTGCGCCTTTCCTGGAACTCACTTGGTAGCCCAGGCTGGCCTCGAACTCACAGAGATCCGCCAGCCTCTGCCTCCCGAGTGCTGGGATTAAAGGCGTGCGTGGGCCACCACCGCCCGGCAAAAGTTCTTTTTTTATATATTTTATTTTAAATTATGTGTCTGTGTGTATCTGTGTATAGCTCTGTACACATAAGTGTAGTGCCGTGTGGAGGTCAGAAGAAGATGTCAGATCCCCTGGAGATGGTGTTAAAGGGAGCTGTGAGCTGTCTGATTTGAGTGCTGGGACCCAAACTCAGGTCCTATGCAAAAGCAACAAGTGTTCCTAACCACTGAACCATCTTTCCTGCCCCCCCAGGATAAAGTTCTTAACTCATGATTCAGCTGCCAACTCTCTTCACCTCTGTGGCCTCAACTTGTCTGTTCTTTTTAAAATTAATAATAATAATAATAATTGCAATTATTATTATTTGGTTTTCTGAGACAGGGTTTCTCTGTGAAGCTTTGGCTGTCCTGGAACTTACTCTGTATTCCAGGCTGGCCTCGAACTCACAGAGATCCTCCTGCCTCTGCCTCCTGAGTGCTGGGATTAAAGGCGTGCACGGCCATCACCTGGCTTTTTTAAATTAGTTATTATTGTGTGTGTGATGTATGGTTCTGGCTGTTCATGTACCACAGCTGGCACGTGGAGGTCCGAGGACAGCTGTGTGGAGTCAGTACTCTCCTTCCACCTCTTGGGGGATTCTGGGAATCTAATGCCAGTCATCCGGCTTGACTGCAAGCACTTACTCAGCGAGCCATCCGGACGGCCCTGGTCTGCCTTCTGCTTTTGTTTTTTGATTCCTGGAGACTGGCCTCTCTTT